GGGGGGGTTAAGTTCTCCACAGGTTCCAACGAACCTCAAAAGTATTTCGGTCGCTCTGACCACGTTGAGGCGTTAAGCCAGCTTGGACCGCTGCGGTCACGTAAAGGCATGAGCCAACTTGGAACTCCCAATTTGGACAAAAATCTGAGTTCTCTCGGCCTAGGCCACCTACGCTCGCTGCGAGCTGCTCTGGTCCTGGGACGAAGACAAACCCCCGTTCGACGGGTCCACGGGAGGCACTCTACGGGCTCATCCCGGACTGGCACTGGGCCAGACACACTTATGGATATGCGTACTGACTTGACAGCGGTGCCACACGCCAGCCTAAGTTATTTAGAAGGCCTGAGATGTCAGGAAATAGTAGGTTAAAGGCCATCGGTTTTGGGTTGGAGGTCAACGCAGGGCTGTTGAGGGCCAAGACCTAAGGTTGGAGGCCATCGCTAGTAGGCGGTGGACCATAGACACAAAGTGACAGCAAGAAGCAAAGTTGGAGGTCATCGCCAGAAAGTTGGAGGCCAGGGTGCCAAGTTGGAGGCCAGTGCTACCAGGTAGACAGCCAAAGTTGGAGGTCCTCGCTGGTGGGTGGAGGCCAGGGTACCAAGTTGGAGGCCAGTGCTACAAGGTTACAAGAAGCACAAAAGCACAAGAAGCAAAGACAGCAAGGTTGGGAGCCAATCTAGTGGGTGGAGGCCAAAGTTCAGGTTAGAGAACCCCTTACAAAGCTGGGAGGCCTACCTGCAAACCTGTAGAGTAGTCTAGAGGAAAACAGAAGGAAAGGCACCCACACACAAGTGTGTCGTACCATTTCCTCGTGTTTTCCTAAATAGTGGAACAGGCACAGGTGGATGATCAGTCCACCCATCCCTCGTTTTACCGTAGCTTCATTGCGTACGGTGGGTATGACGAGCCGTACGCCCCTGTTCCAAACCTATAGGTTCCCTTTGATTCCAAGGGGTGCACACACACACACACACATATATATATATATAGCCCTTGAGTTGTGCTGTCAGCTACAGACCTAGTCACCTGTTGCAGGTGGTGTGACGATCTCCCACCTCCGCTTTGGACCTGAACCTATCAAAGGCAGCTACCTCATTGACACTGGTTGTAACTACCTGGCTATCCACAAGAAGGACACCTTTGGGTGGGCAGATTTTGCAAACCAGTAAAACTCTTCAAGAAAGGACTGACTTTATATAACTGTCACTTCTTTTGGCCGCCATTTTTTGGCCCCTATCTGTCAATTCCTTCGCCGTCCTTTACGATCTTGCAGTGGTGACAATACTTTGCAGGAAACCACAATATGTACGCTCGCTGAGCAACCAGTGTATCGTTGGCGGTTTTGCCACCTTCCTATGGCAAGGAGAACCTATTCCTGGACTTAGACTAAAGAATGAGAAAGCAAGAGAAGATAGAAAAGGGAGCCTTTCGGTGCACGCCGCTTGGTCCTTAATTTGGTGGACCAGCTAGTCACTATATAGTCGGACGACTATAATCGGTGTCCTTACATTTTGGAGACTGTGAATAGCGTCTTTTCCCCAGATTCGGCAAACCTGCAAACCTGTGTCAACTCCCAGTCGCCAAGGACACATACAAAGTGAACACATTCAAACTCCAAACCTGTTTTCAAACTTTGAGGAATTTCCTCCTTTTGAGAACATCAAATCGTTTGCATTTGGATTCATGAACTGACAGAAGCCCCTTCCAACTTGCAGCAGTATCTTGTACTCTTAGCTGGAAGATGCACCATACAACTATATAGTTGTCTACAATGCATTGCATAATGTGGATATTCGTGGATCTCATCACATTGTTTGTGTGGTGCAAGTTGATCCATTCAGGAGTACATCTTCAGTTTCTTTGCAGATCTGTTGCTTGGGCCGTTGGCAGATGGAGGTCCGTCCTTCACTTAAACTGATGACTCTTGCTCAAACATTCCATGTTCCTTGCATGTGCAGGGACCTTGGTCCTCAACTGCCCCTGGTCAGATGCTGCTCTCGACTGAGCTTTTTGTTTGCGGGATTCCATATTTTGTCGACTAGAGCACTTGAGCAAATGTAGCGTTTCAGGAGATGAACACCATCCTTCCACCTCCGTTCCGGAAGATTGTGGGCCAGAAGCGCCTCAAAGCTCTCTCCTAAGACCAGTGAGTTAGAGGCAAGAGAATACAAACAATCTATGGCGTCGCGTTTGGTTGGCCCAACCCACGAGCAAACCAATTCTGCAAAAGTCGACAATTCAGAACTACTTTTTGATGAAGCAACAAGTCTGCAATCAGTGATTCCGATCCTAAATGCTCGCGACGAAACTGATCCTGCGTCTTTCGAAAACAGCGCTTCGTGGCCAAATCACAGGTCAGTGAGGCCCGCAAGAGGTTTTAGTTGAGTTGCTGACTGCATTTCTTTTTTTCTGAAACTAAGTTGTTGCTTTCCCAATCTTGGCTTGGTTTGACTTGGTTTATCCTCCGAACAATGTGTCCACACATCAGGGTTCTTGTGGTCTAAATCCAGGGTTCGTGCGGCCATGGGCGGCCTATTGTGTGTGCCTGTTCGCACAAGAGCGCCTTCCAGACTCATGGGAATGTAGGAATACAGCTGGGAGCGGCGTTCTCATTCTCGGAGTTGGAGCTCATTTTTAGTGGCAGGTGCAATACACACCACGTGCTTTGGTAGTCCTGACTGGATGTTTCATGGCAGGTCCAGGTGGGAAGTACAGGCGTGATAGATTTCACGTCCTGATCTCTGGAACCCTCGGGAAACTTTGTTCAGATTTCGTGACTGTACGGATATCTTCAACAAAATTACAGAAATCTTGCAAATGTTGTGAGCAGCCCCCTACCACGCTGCAGCAGGTTGACACCACTTCACTAACGATGAGAATAGCATAGCTGTATCACCACAGTATGTAACCATCAGCAAGAACATACCACTGCCAGGGTAGAACCCTACGGATCTTGCAACCATCTAGGAATTTGTTTCATGTTATATATGTTGATTCCCTCCAGAAACACTGAAGGTCAGCGCAATTGACGCGAGTGCAGTGGCCAAACGGACAGGCAGGTTGGAGTTAAACAGTTTGACTATCAGCGTGTATGAAGCGGTCGCAGGTATGGGAAAGCTGATCAACAATATCATGACGGCTGTTTTCTTTGAGCTCTCGGGCGTTTTGCCCACAGAGCAGGCCCTATCTTTGCTCAAGGACTGTGGGGTTTGAGGGGGGGGTCGTGGTGGGCTCTCCCACTTCCTGCAAGGATGCGGTGAAGAAGACCTACAAGAACAAGGGTGATGCCATTGTCAACCAGCCTCTAGCTGCTGTTTCATATTTTGAGTGTCTTTTTCAATTTGACATTTAATACTTGGATTTGCTCGGGTTCTCTCATCCCTTGGGTCTGAACATCAAGGAACATCAAAGCGGTGGAGGCAGCTATTGAGGCCTTACGCACTGTGCAGTATGACGCAGCGAAGTGGGCAGCTATCGATTGCGACCGGGAATCCTTCTATGCCAAGGATTACAAGACCAGATGACTGTCTTTTATTCTGCTGTTGTAGGAACAGTCGCTGACATGAACCAATCACTAAGAATTCCAGGTCCGAGAAGAACAGGCAAGGCAAACCCAAGCCATAACAATGCGTTGTCACTTGCAGCTGGGAGGAGCGCGATTCGGAACCACCTACTTACGTGACTGATGTGTTGGACAAGGCACACTCAAGTTGAAAGAATGGAGCAAAGATGATACTTTCACCCCTGTGCAGGTCCAAACAATGCGTGGTCATGAGTTCCTTGGCAGTCATAAAACCATCCAATTCAGCCCGCTTGCAGATGATTGCCCATTGGAGTACATTGTACATCATTGTGCTGATTGCTACTGTTTCACAATTGTTTCAATTCTGAGATGGATGCCGACCGCGGAGCTTCAGGTTGAAGGTCAGCGAAGTTGAGGTGGATGGCTGCGTCCCACTCTCCCAGACACGTTTTGCAAAGCGTGGTGTCGCCGAGTCTGTGCCAGTGGTTGACATGGACTGCTTGCTTTGGCCATATGATTGAAGTTGGCCATGAAAGAACATGTTTTGCATGCTTTGTATCTTGAAATCCAGAGCTCACTTTGACGATACTCTTGCACCACTTGGAGGACAAGTGCATTCAGTGCAACGTTTGCAGCGCCATTTGCCCACATGCAGTGATCCGACCCTTTCTGCTTTCGAATATGGAATTACAGAAGGCGAACCAGCGTTGGCAAGTCAGTCGGAAAATAATCTGATAAACGACAGAACCTTTTTCATGGTTCTGTCACCTGTTCTGCAAATTGTAGTTTTATCAAAACCAACGTCCAAACTAACGCTCAAGAGGGACTCGGTTGCAGATTTCAGAACACATGTGCAATGGAGGCGCCCTCCTCTTTTGACGCCCGCAAGGCCACAGGTCAAGCACTTAGCAAAAGAGAGAGGAGAGCCTTCCGAGAAAGTCCAGATGGACCAAGGTGGACTAAGTTTCTGGTGTTGACCAAAAAACTGAACTAAACTAAACCATACAGTATTTCTCAAGACAAGTACAACTTGGCAGCTTCTAGTCCCAAGGTGGAAACACCTATGCAGGGCTGCACTTCCGAATCCAAGCCTCGCCGAACGATTGCACAGGTGTGTTCCAAGTTGATCATAAGGGTCAAAGACAGTTGTAATGCATCATTGATTAGTGAATACAGTAAGTTGTAAGTACTAGCAGATCCTACCAAATGCTGATCAGTACCAGGGATAACCGGCATACACAAAAGTAGTGGACTTTGTGCAGGTTGTGAGGTTTGCACCAACGCCTGCCCTGTGGGAGCGTTGAGCATGATGCCTCGGCTCGACACTTTGGAGAAGGGGCATGGTGCCAACTGGGTGCCTCGGACCGTGATGCTATGCGCCCATGCGAAACCCACGAATGGAATATGGCGATGTTTCCTTCGAGATATTCTTTTGGGATATTCTGGATGTTTCCGAGAGCTGAGGACTATGCAATGTCTGTTCCAAATCGTGGCCAGCGTTTTGATGCAAACACACTGAAAGGATCGCAGTTCCAGGACCATTTTCGGAGACATCATGATTTTGGGGAGAAGTGTCCCAACATATACTGAAAGCGTAATTGTATATATTTGTATATCACGAAAGCCAGCCGACAGGCTAGGCTGGAGTTGTCGATGGGCGAACGAAGTGAATAATACAGTAGGGGGTGTGGGGGGGTGGTCGCGTAGCGGCACAATCTGGTAGGGCGAACCCAGAGCCTGGTGGAGGAGAGCAAAAAAAGAGACGGCCCGACAAGTTGTAAAAATGTATGGTTTTTGGGGTGATGTAATTGACGCCGAAGAGTGCATCATTAGCATCATGAGGGGCTCCGCTATTTGACAGTCTTCGACCTGGGGTGGGCGGAGTTCATGTTGAGGACAGGAAAGAGGTGATAACAGGAGTAAAAAGTGCTTGGAACTCCTTCAGGAAAGACTTTGTTTGCTGGTGGCTAATATGAGTGGAAGGACTGCAAGAAACAATGTGACCCGTTGAGGACAGGAGAGGGAACAGAATGCAGTGGGCATGCTTTGAGTTGCTTGGGGATAGCTTCGAGTTGGTTGGGGGTGCTTTTTAACCGTGAAGAGGATAGTTAACCAGACGCAAAAGGGCACCCCACATGCGGTGGGAAGTGATAGGAAAAGAGGTGTGGAGCTCACCAGGGAAGCGAGAAGTGCGTCGCTCGGCGCTCTGTCTTCTCGTCGGTCAGAGGAATAGAGAGAATGTGACCTTTAGAGGATAGGAGAGGGAAGGGGACAACGTTTTACTAGCGCTTGACAGTTTTTGGCACGTGTTCCGCCGCATCTTCGTTCTCGACAGACACTACTGTACAAGATAGGGTTGTGAGTTTGGAAGTCAGCCAAGCAAATTATTTATTGCTTATTTATTTTTATGAGTTTGTTATGGTTTTCTTATGAAACTGAATATGCAATTTTTTTTTTTGCAGTTATGCTTTGCGTAAAATCAGTAAACGAGTGGTGACAGAACAACAACACACGGACGACCGGGAAAGTCTAACGGAACCCAACCCTTGCCCAATTGTTTTTCCCGGGGGTGGCCACCAACACTGCGGAAGAAACGCGGAAAGGATTACAGGGATACAGGGATGCGCTGCAAAAGATGAACATGTGTCCACGCTCGCCTGCTCTGGAATAGGGGCCGTACTGGGTGGATAAATCCATGGCGTTTGACCTAAGACTTTATCCGGGGGCCAGCCTCTAAGCTACCTAAAAAGGGGTTCTGTCCCTTGAAATAACCCACCCCAACCCCAGAAAACCTAGGGGGTTGACCTATTCCAGCCCCTTCCACTGGGTCAACCTTGGCTTTGGTTAACCTTTCGGAACGCCCAAGCAGTCAACCCTAGGACAACTTGGCGCCCCAAATCTACTAGGACGTAAGAAAATTTACGTCCTAGTAGTGTTGTTAATTTTTGAGGTCGCAAAGATGCGAGTTATGCGTCCAGTTGCCACACCGCCCCCGAAAACTCTTTCTATTGCACCCCTACGGTTTTCTGGTGTGTTTGGATGTTGTTTTTAAGGTTTCCATCCAAGTCTGAGTGAGATGTCCATTTTCATTGTTGATGTTTTTTTTGCCTGAATGTGAACCTCAGCCCTTCAAAACTTTATCCACGTGATCTGGCTGAGAAAGGGTCAATCCCCCCCCGGAAAATAGAACCTTGCACAGACCCCAGGTCCCAGTACGACCGGGTATCTCTAGATACTGTATATGTCATTGCGAAAGCCAGCCGATAGCCTAGGCGATGAGATCTCCACAGCAATCTTTCCTGCAACATGCTCTTTGCAGTAGACTACCATCGGTCCGCACTTGGCGGCACGCCGAGTTTCTGCTTCCATCTACAAGACACGAACAACAAACAGCATGCAAACCAGTTCCTTGCAACGCCCTTTTTCAGCTTGAAAACGCTCTTGAACCCCACCCGAACTATGTCTTCTGCTTTCTATTTCTACCACCCGTCGGCGTTGCTGCAATGTCGACTTCACCCCATAACAAAGCTACTCTTTGCCCGATGTTAGACAATCACTTGATCTTGGCTTTAACATCGGTCGACTCTTGGCAGCACGCCCAGTATATGCGTCCATCTACAAGACAAGAATCACATACAGCAGGCAAGCGCCCGTAATGTCTTCGAGGTTTCCTTTTTCGCCTTGAAAACGCCCTTGGGCTAAAGGAAAGAGGCCTCCCCCCCACCTATGTTTTCTGCTTTCTAATTATTTCCAACAGCAGCGCACGTCACTGCAATATCGATTTCCCGCCATGACAACGGCGATCTTTCCCCCAAGTTGGGCCATCACATGATCATCGATCCACTCTTATCAGCACGCCGAGTTTATGAGCCCATCTACAAGACACAAACGCCCCTCGATTATTTAGGGGTCCCTTTTCTTTCTTCAAAACGTTCCTTGAACCAAAAGAAAAAGGCAGCCCCCCCACCTGTGACTGAGAGACTCCCCACCTCTGCCTTTAATTTCCCCATGCCTCACAGCGCTTCCAGTGCCCTCTCACATTCACCCCCCATGACCATATTGATGTTTTCTTCAGAGGCTGGCTTTCGTCCCCTCCCTTCTCAGGTAGAACTGTAGAACTGTAAAGTAGAACCTACGTGAAGCAAATGACAGTAGCAATGCACATCCATTGAACAAACAAACCATGTGTTACTTTGCCATCAAACTCGTCACAACAAGCGACCTTGTTTCAAACTGACTCGAAAACCAAGAGGTAAGACAAATTTGAAGGCATCGCTTCTATCGTTACTTCTCTTGCCCAGAGTCCCGTCCCGATGAGTATAGTTCCAGTATGCTAAAACAAAAATTGACGAGCATCATTGCTCGGTTTTCCCTCACAACATTGCATTCAAGGCCTGTCTCTCTTCTTGAACAAGCAATTCTTGACACTGGACTCCTTCACCGGTCCTCCTGCTACTGTGGGAGAAGGTTTGCTTTTGCAACTTTTGTACAAGGAGCCGCTCTTGGAGTTCTCTGGTGCCTGCGAGGGCTGTGGCGAGACACCATATGCAAAGCTGGTGACCCAAATGTCAGGTCCTTGGGTTGTGCATAGTGAAATGAAGACTATTGGAATGCACTGTGAGGTTCGGAAAGCGCCTCATTGTAGCCAATGCCACAGGCCGGAGTCTAGCGATAATGGAACAGGGCAGACTGGCACGTTGGTTCCAAATCCAGGTTGCAGCAGCATTTGGGGCGGCACTGCTGGGTGGGTTCCATATGCTACAGATAAGGCAGGGCACTGTCGGCCAAACACCTGGATCGCAGCATGACGTTCGATTCTTTCATGGCACAGAAAATTTGTTGGATTCAGTTAATGTTTCTGATGTTTTTGGACACTAGTCGAATTGAGCACACAAGCATGTCAGTGGGAACCAAATTGAAACCTTTCAATTTGGAATAGCTTGTTGAACGAAGGGGGTGGGCAGAAACAAGCTGTTTATATAAGGTTTATGTTTCGGGTGCTAAATGAACTGGTTTAATCGAAAAGATAGTTACTTTCCAAGAAACACCTCGGCCAGCACAAACTGTTCAACCAAAAGGTACAGTACGTGTTAAGAAAATGCGGGGTCTGGAAGATGAGAGCCCAGAGGCAAGGCACCATGTGACGTACTCCGCGCACTAGCAAGAATGCTCTAATTCGTAAGGACCTAAAGACAATGTGTGGTTGAAATTACCAAGCTGTGTATGCAACAGTATTTGGCAATCGCCTTGCAAGCAGAGATGCACCGGGGCAATCAAAGATGTTTGATGTGTTGGCCTGCTTGCGGTGATTTTGTCTCGTTATTGCCATTAAACATGGTGCTTTGTGGCAAACCGTTCGCAGGAAACTGGCAAGGGGGCTGCGTGGGGCAACTCTCTTTTCGAAGACAATGCAGAGTATGGCCTTGGCCAGGCCATCAAATTGAGAAGTTTGAGAATCAGGTTTTGCAGGGTTGAAACATACGAGTACAGAGAGAGATCAAAACAGTACAGTATGCAATTTTTCGGATACGAACCGGTGCTTCTTTTTTGGTGGATGCTTTGTGCTACACTTCGTCACTCACTGCAGGTCATCCACGTCAGGCAGCGACGGCGCCAGCTACGAGACCGCGTTGAAGCAGCTCTCGCACGAGCTGGAAAGGCCATGAGCATCGCTTTGAGGACCCAGACTCACCAGCAGTTTCAGTGCTGACAAACCAAACCAAAAGAAAGCTTTCATTTGCTGTTTTCATGTTCTTTCATTTTACGAGGCGAGGAAGCAACAAGGAACATTGTGAATTTGTCAAACTTTTCAACACCGTACCTGTTGCCAAAGGGCTTTGCATGAGCAGGAGCCTCTTGGAGCAGTGGCTGGAGTTTGGCGAGGACCTGCTTCTTTTGTCACGTTGCTTAGAAGCTGTTCTTTGCTACACCTTCCAAACATGCTCTGTTGGTGTGGTTAGAAGTTGGTGATTGTCATTCCAGACTCCAGACCGAAGGCCTATCAATTATCGTGCTTGATAATGTCACTGCCGGTGCGAATGCGAACTCAAAACAAACATGAAAAACACCAGCTGATACTGCTTGGGAGGATGGAAGCATCTCTGAGAGATTATCTGACGAGCTGCAGCCACTGCTGGAAGAAGAGAAAGGGAAGGCGAAGGACATGAATCCATATAGGGAGACGGATCTATCCTGCCTGCCCCTACCAACCAAAGGTTGTACTTGTTTTGATCCCTTACTTGGCCAAGTCTTGCGAGGTTCACCGGGAGTGACTTGAGCCGAGATAGTTCATAGCTGACAATTGATCGTTTGTTTGGCAAGGAGATTGCCGAGATTGTCCGCCTAAAGGACCTGCTTTTGAGCTGCAATGAGGGCGACCTAATAAAGGTAATTTGTTTGCAATGAGTCCGCTTCAATTAGGTTCACTAAGCCTTCCATGTGGATGTTTGGCGGTGACGGCTGGGCAAATGACATTGGCTATGGTGGCATTGACCATGCGATTGCCAGCGGAAACAATGTGAAGATCGTCGTCCTTGACACGGAGGCCAAAGCATATTGTATGGCCATGGCATAGACAAATTGCAATTTACTTTGCAATTTGCTTTGCAATGGGGCCAAGCGGCGTTGCTTTGGGAGTTAGCTCAAGCCTGAGGTCTACAGCAACACTGGCGGTCAGTCATCCAAGTCCACTCCGATGGGTGCTGTTGCCAAATTTGCCCAGGCTGGTAACTTAGGCAGTTCGACTAGACACACAAATCAAACAGTTAGATCAAACAAGGATAACAATGCTCCTATTGCGATTGCGATGTGTCGTACGATTTCATGCGGCACTTTATTTTTGCTTTCATTTGTCATCTCACCATTTGTCTATGCTGCATGCTGAATGTTGACAACTGATTCATGCGAGACCTCGCGGGCCCTGGGAGCTCCGTCGTTCATTGCAACAACCTCTCCCAACCCTTAACACATTCAACATCCTCATTGGCACGTACATAGTCAGCGATGTGCAGGGTGAGGGTGATTGCAGATTGTGAAAGTCCGGTGGTTTGATCCAAGTGTTGTTGTGCCAAAAGTTGTGTTCAGGTATACTACTCCGAAACCACGGAATCCGCTTAAGCCAACAAGTTTGTAAAACAGAATCTACCGAAAACATCAAAATGCTTGTTGCCACAAGCAATTGAGCTGTGAACCTCAAAGTGGAGGCATGGTGTTGTGTCAGACAAGGGCCTGCCATTGACTCCCTGCATCCTTTGACCCTTTGCTGATAAGGCTGGCAGAGACCAGCGGAAAAAGGACCTTGGCGCAATGGCAATGGCATATCAGCATGTCTACGTCGCTTGGTATGTGAACCCTTCGATCCTAACAGGCAGCCCCATATGAGGGCGCCAATGATGCCTTTCTGTGAGTTACAGTAGTTATATATATATATATTTGTAATATATACACATCCGACGGCATCCAGAACTGAAGGTGGCTTCCGTCGCTATTGGTGCGAACTACAAGCAGACTGTGGAAGCATTTGCAGAAGCCGAGAAATACGAAACACGGCAACACTGATGTAAATTGATGCACCACCATGCGATCTGAGATTTGAAGTTCTGCAATTGGCAAGAGTTTAACATGCAACTCGGAAAGAGTTCTAGCCCGAGATTTAGTTGGGACAACTTTGAGGATGGCCCTGCTCTCCTCCTTTGCTATGCTCCTTGCATTGAGCACCGTTTCTTCAAGACAGGCACCACCTCACCATGTCTTGTTCTGCAATACAAGTTGCGAAGCATTTGTTGCACTAGGCCTCTCCGCAATGTCACTCGATCAGAAGGATGCTGTTGAGTGCGGCCAAGTTGCAGCTTTAGTGTTGCTAGATGCTAGTAGTGAGGAGCTCAATAAGGGAGTCTCAGAGCAAATGTTTGGAGAACTGAAAGCTTCAATAGGTAAATCTTGTACTAAGGTGGCTACTGGCCCCTCTACCGCTTCAACCCCAGACTGGCCCGGGATGGCAACAATCCGTTCATTCTGGATTCAAAAAAAGTGACGGGAGATGTTTCTTGGAGGCAGTGGTTTGTCTTTTGAAGTTGACTCTGGCACAGCTTTCATCAGATAGCGGGAGCTATTGGGGTTCTTACTTCAATTATAGGGAGGGTCGCCTGTGTGCGCTTTGGAGCCTGGGTGCTGGTGCCGCTGTAGGGCGCTGCCAGCTGCGTGGCCATGTGCGTTTTGGAGCTTAGGTGGTGGTGCCGCGGCAGGGTGCATAAACATTGCGCTTAGGAGATGGTCAACTTCAAATAGGTCATCCTGGATCATAGGAGATAAGGCAGACAAGACACCTGGAACACGTGTTGGTGTCGCTGCAGGCCGCAGCGGGGCGCCGCTGCCAGATGTGTATGGCCCATGCGCTTTGGGGGTGGCTCCAAGGTCCGTGATGCTGGTGCCACTGCAAGGTGTTGCTGCCATGTCTATGGCAGCGCTTGCCGGCCAAATGTCTTTGCGATGTGCGCTTTGGAGCTGCCGTGCCGCTGCGGGGTGGTGCTGCAGGGTGTTGCTTGGCAGTGTGCGCATTAGGGCCTGAAGCCTGTGGCACGTGGTTGTTTGTGCCGGTGCAGGGTGCTGCTCGCAGATGTCCATGGCAGTGTGACAGTTGAAGCCTGTGTGCTGGCGCTGCTGCAGGTGCCGCTGCAAGGTGCCGGCCAAATGTTTGTGCCTGTGCGCTTTGGAGCTTGTGTGCTGGTGCCAATGCGGGATGTCTATGGCAGTTTGAACTTTGGAGCCTGCGTGTTGGTGCTGCTGCAGCAGGGCGCTGCTGGCAGATGTTTATGGCAGTGTGTGGTGCTGGTGTCATGCTGCCCACAAATATTTTTTGTTATGTGGGGTCTATGCTGGCGTAATTCTCTCGGTGATGCAACGTGAGAACTGCTTGAACGCGAGAACTTCAGCAGTCCTCTTCTGACTTTGAGGTGATGAAATTTTTGAACCGGCAGAATCGCTATGCACAGCTGGTACGCTCAAGTCCTGCTGTGGCAGAGAAACTCCAAGGAGAATTGCAGGCCTTTTGGTGCCATTTGCAAATGCCCCAACGGGTTTTCCAATGTGGCCAGCCTTTAGATTTATTTGTGCCTTCAAGTTTTCATTTGTCTTCATTTTTCTGTATGGGTGATGCTTTTACCCTTTTCGTCCACACCTCGGCCTCAGCTCATTTTATAACATTATATATATATATATCATCTCTTCCTGAATCCCTCATGAAAGCATCTACCGTTGTTACTATACGTCTGAAATCTCAAGCCATTCGAACCTGGAGCAGGTCTACCTGAAGCAGCGCCACTCTGCGTTGCGAGAGAAGGCAGCAGCTGACCTCTCCAAGGAGGCGGCTTCTCTCAAGGCTCGCGCCCGAGCTGTGCCAGTTGATTGGCCATTTAAGCAGCTCTGCAAGAGTTGAAACCGCTTCTTCTCATGCTGTGTCATCGACACCGTTGAGCAGAACTTGAGTGCCAAGAAACTGCAAGGACGGTTTGAAGGAAGCCAAAAGCGCAGCAGAGCAGGTTCTCATCACATTTGGCTCAGACGCTCGGAGCCGTTGGGTCATGACCTGCTCCCCAGTTTGCCAGATGAAACATTTTGGTATATAATGACAGAATGTCTCTTGACAGACGTTGCACATTGTCACCTTCCTCACGACCTCTCCCTTCCCAAAAAGGACACGACCTGCAAGCAGCACAATTTCTGAGGACACTGGGGTCACAGAGCATGTGGCCAAAAAGTTTGCAGGCTTCAGTGCTGTTGGAGGGTTCAGTGAAGTGAACTGCCGATTTCCTTTGCCGTGCTTTTGATGGCAGCAAAACTCAATATTTTCGATGCTTTTCTGATTTTTATTGTTTTTATCTTCATTTATCTTCATTCCTCCTTAGTTTTCTTTTTCCTTGTTCTTTTGGCCCAACGTCCTTGCAAGGCCTTTGCGCAGACCGAGGGGTCCATGTGAGGCGAGTGTGCGATCTGGACGAGTTGAGTGACATTGAAGAACTGAAGGCGCCTGGTCGACCGTGACGGTCCACGTCTCTTCTTTTTTTGGAAAAGGTTTGCTGAGCGAAATTAAGAGTGCTTGTTTTCCGCCTCGTTGAATCGTTCTTGTTGAAAAAAATAATTCTATTCATTTTGCTTGGAGGCTGCATGCGCAGGGGCCATTTGCGTGGTGATGTGTTCCACTTGTGGCCACGGAGACTTCCCCCAGAATGCAGGGCTCTTTTGGAGCAGCCTTTCAGCGCAGAATTTGGCAAGCAAGGCGGATCAAATTACTGTACATCTATACATCCATATAAGTGTTCTTTATATTTTTTCGTTGCCCTAAACGACATCTCAGTTAGCAGATGTTCGCAGTTTTGCGCAGCCAGCAGGAGCTGAGCGGTTTGCGCTTCTGTGTGTTTGGAATGGGAGACCGCAGCTATGCAGATTCCTTCTGTGAAGCTGCAAAGAAGATTGAAGATCGGATGCGAGAGCTTGGATGCTTGGAAAGTGCTATTTCATTACATGCAATCATTCTTTGCGGGAGAGTGGAGGTTTTGTTTGCAAAAACAAATAATTCATATCATAACTCTCCATTTAAGCCTGGGAGTCATCCCTATCCAAACGGGTCCTGAGAACAGTTTTTGTTTCCCTACTATTTATCATGAAAGGCATTCACACATGAACCGGAAGGCATGATGGCCCCGGTTAGAACGCATGCAGGCTGGAATGTCACTGATCTGATCTAACAATCTTACCGTGTGAATGTGGCTCTCAGTGTATTCGCCAACACCAACACCTCTGTCTATACCTCTATATGCGATATACCTTCTGATGAACATCTATGCCAGGAACCGTTCAACACAAATAATCCTTTGCAATGTGTGCGAGTGGCTGGTGTTAAAATGTGGTTGGGGCAGGGTGGTTTGGCTTTGGTTTTTTGGTTCCAAAAAGCTGGAGTGAGGTTGGCGCGGAGATTTGTGCTGGAACTGCTGCGCAAAATTCTAAAAAACCACACTTACAAAGACACTTAAAAACACAGTTTGCCAAATAATCATACATTAGACCTTTGCCAAGGAGCCGAAAGATTGCTGGACATGGGTATCGGAGATGATCGAGACGAGGCACCGCAGCTGGCCCAGTCTTACCAAATGACATGCGCTCGCTGATTGGTGATGTTCTTTACTTGATGAACCCAGCAGTTGCAGGACAAGTGGGAGACGGGCTTCCAGAAGTGGTTGCCCAAGCTTTGGCTTACTCTCAAGGCATCGGAGCCACAGGATGATGGTAGGCAGAAACCTCAGATAAAGCAGCGCAGAAAAAGTCATCGCATCCTGAGCATTGAGTCACTAAGCGTTCCATATGCCCTGACCTCTTAGGCCAAAGGAGCCGCTTTTCGAGGTGAAGTACCACGAAATGGCCGCGCTGCAGACCTCCCCTCTTGTGCCACCGGGCTCACAGTTGCTGCGAGTGGCGGAGAACAGACGTGGCGTGGCAAGAGGAGGTTCCTTCAAAAGAGACAGGCTAGTTGAATGAATTGAATTGGTTTTCACTATATAATTGTGGTGTAATATTTTGAAGATTTCCATGACAGCAAGGTCTGACGCCCTCTGGCTACGAGCGTGATATCCGACATGTTGCACTGAGCCTTGAGGGAGCTGACTTTCCTTTCGACTTGGGAGTTCCTTGATTTGAACCTTGAAACATCACAAGTTTGCCATTGCCAGCAGAGCTGATGATGGTAAGGGATGAACTCCTGCTGAGGACGCTGTTGCCATCTATCCTGAGAATCTGGCCAAGGTGGGCTGCATGGATCAAATGCCAAAATGATCAGAAGCTTCAAATCGATCGAGAAAGAAGAGCTTGACCTTTGAGTAAATGCCTTGAACCAGCCTAAGTTCAGTCTGAGGATGTTGACGTTGCTTGGCCAATCTTGGTGTGTGTGTGTGTGGTGTGTGTCACAGTTAGTGATGATGTCCTGTGATTCACCGCGAACAAAAGTAAGAAGGCTTAGAGGAAAAAAACGTACCAAACTTGTGATGCCTTGCTGCTGGCCGCTGACGGTTCTCAGGAAGCACTGGCGTTTTTGGACTTAGATGGTGATCGAGTGATTTCTGTGAAGTGCTCTGAGCACGTCTCCGAGCGCCACCGACGAGCCTTTGAGCGGCGTGTAACGGTGCGCCAAGTCCTGACGACTCTTGGCGGTACAAAGTGACGACTCAGTAGTCAGTAGCGGCAGCTAGTGTGGTTGTAGACCTTGTATTCCGTCTGCTGCCCTTTACGCCTGTGTGTGGGGTCACTTATATATTGGACTGTGTGGGCTTGAGCTTAAAATCTGTTTTTGGAGAACAATATAAGCTCCAAGTCAAACCTCAAAGCGATGCTCACCGAATCCTAACGGTCCTAACGTCTTTTGGCTTACACAATTAGCAGTAAAACTAGACCATGGCCTATGGCCCATACATGTTATATGTTTTATTGCACCTATACATAGCACGACATTTGATCCTTTTTGCTGCTTCGCTGATTCTGCATTTCGCGTTCTGCAAGAGGTTGAGTAGTGGAAATCAAGAGTTCAAGGGAACAGGGAAGAATTCAATACCAGTTGACCAAAGCAAGTGGTTGTACTTTACATCCGAGCTGTTGCTCGACAGTTCATGGTAACTGTAACACTGTCCCAATTTGGTCCAGAGGGTATGATGCGATGATTGGTAACTGCCCCTGGTGACTCTTGCCATCAGGAGCATGCTTGACCTGTTTGGCCAGGGCCCTAGAACTGTCTACCTGCCCTGGCCCTGGGTGGCGCAGCACGCTCCAGTACACAACCTTTATCAGCCTTGCATGGCACTCTGAGAAGGCTTGAGCTTCAGCGTGGCCCCAGGTCGCCCTTCTCGCTCATTCTGCACAGACCTTGCCCGCTTCGCAAACAATGCAGAGTCGAAGGCTAGGAAGCCGCTTTGGTTGAAGATCCTAGTGGATGGTGTGCCAAAACGAACCTCAGCCAACGCAGGCTTAGTTGCAACCCGAACCTGAGTTGTATGTAAATGTTCGATGCATCCTTGACACTATGATTTGCACCTCTAAGGTTCTCTCCCCAAGATGACAGCACATGCATAAGCCACCCGAGCCCCTATCACCAAAGCCATGCAGGACAAGTCTGCCGCAACCACCGTGCACCCATCCCGCCGCACACCCTGCGTTGCCAAGGTATATTGTAGCCTTTTGAGGCCCCGTGCCACGACAACACTCCGTGCATCCACTTACTGTATACACATCGCGTGCCCACCTGATACGCATGACTCTTTTGCTTCTGCAGTCTGGAAGTTGCCCACTTGGCCTGCCTTAGGAACAAACCAAGAATTATGATGATGCGTGTATGTATATATATATATATATATTGTCAATGGAAGTGCAGCAACAGGCCATAGTATGTATAGAGTGTATACACCGTATGTGATGACTTGACCTTTGGCCCAAGGCCCCTGTGAGCGGAAAACAAACGCGCTGCGTTGTTGAGCGCTCATGGAACTACAGGATAGCCTTGCTACTTGCACGGTACAGGGTTAATATCCACTCGCAGGTTATCAGCCGTAGCCGCTCAGAGGTTACGAGCTTAAAAGAGACCGAAAGAGAAGATTGTCGACATTTGACCTGCAATGTCCAGTTCCGGAAGAAGGAGCAGCGAACAGTTTGCAAAGGAGGACCTATGTCTCAATCGTCGCCAGGATCATTGACTGGTCCGAGTTCAGCAGATGCTACAGTGATGACTATGCCAACAGGATCACAAGTTTCAGGTGAAGGTAGGGTCGTTCCACCGGAACAGACTGCTACCGGACCCGATGCAAGAACAGGCAACGCAAAGAGAGCAATGAAAAGATTCACGAGATCAGCATCGCCAAGAACGAATATTGCCAGATCACCAACAAGGAGCATTGAGAGAGTTTAAATCGAAGATGCAAAAAGAAAGGAAGAAAGAGAGATTCAACTCATTGAGGAACTACGATCAGCTAGAGCTTCGTACCAGTACTTGCACGATGATTACAGTTGCCTACATGCTGGATACGCAAGTCTCTATTCAAGATCGCAACAAGAATTCTCACAGATGACAATGTGCAACAAACCTATGCGCAATCACCTACAGGAGATGAGGCAAGAAGACGAAGGAGCAACTATTAGAATCGACAACCTTGAACGCAAGCTTCGTCTCGCTGAATCGATGGCAGATCACATATACGCAAAGTACGAAGAACTTGCTCAAGAAAGTCATGAAGAACATTCACAGCTCGACGAGGTGAGATCCAGGGTGAGAGACACGACCAGTGAGATGCAGAGTGCTTTCCACTATATCCAGGAATAGAATCAGAACTCTGATGCTTCCTCTTGCTTTTACAGAGGCCAACAAGGTATTGAAGAGAGAAAACCTTTTGAAGACTCCTGTCTTTGATGGCCGTGAAGGAGCAGGAATGAAGGACAAGACCCAAGAGCTCGAGGAGAACGTACAGGAAACCGAGAAGGATCTGTGGGAAACGAGATCAGAGAATGCACAGATGAAGGCAAAACTTCGTCATTGCCAAACGTACACCGAACGTGATCGGGATAACAGTCGTGATGGACGAGGGTTACAAACCCGTCGGCCAGACGACAAAGACAGCTCACGTCTGAGAGCAGATGTCAAATACCATGAAGGTGACGCTCACAGACTGAGAGGCAGCCGAGACAAGATGTACGAATGGCACGAAGAAGCTTTTGCAAGCTACACTGAGGAGTTTGAAGAAGCGCAAGAACACGAAGCTTTGAATATAGAGCTAAGGAACAGGTTGTCCGAAGCAGCGTCAGCATCTTCATCCTCACCCACTTTTGCAGCTACAAAGGTTTCCAGGAAAGAAGAATCCAAGGTGAATGTACCTCCATGGCCCAAAGTCAATGACCTAGGACTATGGAAGGTCAATCTGATTCAGGCAATCATCATTGTGGCAAATGATTCTGATCAGCGACCGTGGATCCGATCAAAGAAGCCATTGATGATCCGGACCCAGATAGGCTCATGGATTCTGGTGATCCGAGGATCCATTCCATCGATGCGAAGTTGGGTCTAGCATTGACTAAGGTAGTCACAGATTCCAATGAAGAAGGGAACAATGTTGCTGCGCAGGGCCTCCACCCTCATCAAAGGAAGGGAAGTCCTGGCATTGATTCTTCTCAATTTCAACACAACATCCAACGCTGAGGTTCTATACACATCCACGCATTTGTATCAGTTGGAATATCAAGGAGACAGGAATTTATCTCTATTCTTCCACACATGGGATGAGATCATAGCACGGATGAAACCAACGGATATCCCAAGTGACAAGTGATGAAACCCCACGAGATCTACGATGGAGGAAGATAAGGAATTCCAATCTGATGGCTTATGACACGCATGCATACAACAGCCTCAACGAAGGAGATCCCAAGAAGACATATCAAAATATTCGGGACATCGTCCGAAGACGCATCGAAAGACAGACTGAAGATAAGATGATTCTCGAGAAGGAAAAGGCTGTCAAGAATGTCGCCAGTATATTCCAAAACCTGCCTGAAACCAGGTGGCCCGGCACCTAAGGCGAAAGCCGCACCAAGTGAGCCGAAGAAGAAGCCGAAGCCATCAGTTGGTCTAGGTGACATGGAAGAAGCAACCCCTGTCAAGCCTAAACCGAACCCCAAGAAACATGCTGAAGACAAGAAGGGAAAAGGTAAAGGTGACGGCGAAGCACTAGTGTAGATAAGACAAGAAGAAGATTCCACGCAAATTCTATACCAAAGGGAAGTGTACCTCAGAAAAAGGGTGTCCATACAGTCACAAGAAGGCAAGAACCCCTTCAAGGGGTACCTCACCGGGTCGTGAAGGAGTGGTTGCTTATTGGAGTTGGATCAGAGGGAACTGCCCCAAAAGATTGCAAGTTCGATCATGATCCGCAGGCGGCGCCCAAGAAAGGGATTGGAGGAGCTGATGAGGACAAGCCAAGGCAAGCGCAAACCAAAGCCAAAGCCTAAGGCAAAACCTGGCGCTCCAGTGGTGGGAGATTCATCTTTCTTGAAGGAATCCGACGGTGAAGGGGTTGCAGCTAGCGTGAAGGTGAAGAATGTGAAGAACAGGAAGGTCTCATCTGATGATGACATTGGTGAGATCATCTTCAATGAAGCTGTGTATTCAACCAGGAATGTATGGAAGCCAGCGATCAAGAAGCCATTGAGACCAGATATCAAGAAATATGATATGTGGGAGGTTACCGCCCACCGGGAACAGAGCAGGTTTGATGCAAAGGTTGCAGAAGCAAGGGCCATTCTCATGACTCCGAACACAAGCGTCAAGGAAGTTCATATCCCCGCTGGTCCGAACGGTGACATTGCCATCGCAATGAGGTTGGATGAAGAAGATGGATTGGTCTTTGGACGCCAACTCATACATCATGTTTGTGGCAAACACGGCATCAAAGGTGAAGCGCAGACTTTGTCAGTCCCTGCAAAGGGTGGACATGACCTCATTTCAAAGAACAGAGCTAAGAAACTCGGATTGAAAATCGAGGAGAGTGACAACCCCATGTCATTGTTCCCAGCGAACGGTGTGACAAGCACAAATGATGTTGCGAAGATCAATTTTGGTGAATTTGGAACTACGCACTCGCCTTACGTACTAGATGAATCACCATCAGCGCTATCTGCTGGGGAGAAGTGCATGGAAGAAGGATATTCCTTTGTTTGGCCGGCAAATGGCGCGCCATACATGATCTCGTCAGAGAACAAGAAGATTCTACTCGAGGTCCCATATGTGGTCAAAGACAGTGATTTCTGTTCACCAACCATCGATGAGCAGGTAGAGCATGTATCGAAGCTAATCATTGGTCATATTGACGCGGGTGACCAGCCAGACGTCTTCGGCCACGAGGTAGATGCGCGAGGATTCAACAGCGACTCTGACAATCACCCTTCCGAGACACCCGTGAAGGTGAAAAGAAGGAGAAAGAAGAAGAAAAGAAGAAGAAGAAGAAGTATCAAGCATCGCCTGGCGAAGACGAAGAAGTTGTTCGCGAGGATCCCGAAGAAGAACCTGACGAAGCAGCGGACGGAGATGACGCTGATGATCTCGAAGTTGATGTTATCGATGGCGCTAGCAGAATGGTCAGAAGGGGAACCCTCAAGGCCGAAGCCAGAACGATTCAGCATCTTCTCACA